CTTTACATATTGTGGGCTAATACTTATTTTAAATCTACCATTCTCTCCAACTTCTCTACGTTCTAGATTATGTTTCAGAGTCTCTTCTGTGTCCATTTTGGCCTTTCCTGCCATTTTACCAACCTTCTAATTTCTTTCTGTATATCCTTGATGTCAGCCCAAACTGGTCTTTAGTCATTTGTGTTCAAATGTATTCTTAGCATCAAATCTATTCCTAAGGTGGTCTCTAAATTCAGGTAGTATGGGAGCTCTGGTGGCCTTGTGGCAAGAAGCTATGCTGCAATCCTGAAGGTATGCAGTTCAAGGCACCAGCTGCTATGTGGGAGAAGGCTAGGCAATCTCCTCCAGTGCGATTAACTGCCTCTGAAAATCCACTGAAGGGTCAGCTATGGGTTGGTTCTGACTTGGTGGTAAACAACAAACAACAATATATATATACCCAAAGTTGTCCTGTGGCTCTCATAAACTGTTTTTTGGGGTGTTTTGTTTGTCTATTTGTTTTAGTTTTAACTTGAACTTACTTACACATTAGCAACTGATGGAATGTCCAACCATTGGCTCTTGCCTTTTGACTGAAGATATTTGGCTTCTCCATTGGACATGTTGCAAGGAGGGATCAGTCCTTGGAGAGGGACATCATGCTTGGGAGGGTGGAGGGATGGCGCAAGAGAGGAAAACTCTCAATGGATTGATTGATGGATTGATTCTATCATTAGGGTAATGGGGATAGTCATGTTGGAGACAAAGAGATTGGCAAGTGATAGAGTAGGGTTTAGGGCTGTTGTACATAGGGTCACTATGAGTTGCAGGTGACTCAATAGCACAAAACAACACCTGAAAGTGTAATTGAGTGCTTTGTATAGAATACCATCTAGTAAGGTTCATGTGTATAGTTATTTGCTACTGAAAAGAAAAAATAAAGAATATTTCCATTGAATAGGCCATAGGTCATCTGTTGTCATTATTGTTGGTGGTGTGCACTACTGAATTGGAACCAACTCATAGTTGGCCCTCCAGTGTGTTTCCAGAGGCTATAAATCACATGGGAGAGCACTGCCCATTTTTCTTCTGAGAAGCAGCTTGTGGATTCGAACCTTCTGTCTTTGAGTTGGCAGTGCAACACGTTACCTGCTAGATCACCAGACAAATTTCTAGAAGCAAAGATGGAGGGACATTGTCTCATGTACTTTGGCTATGTTGTTAGGTAGAGCCAGTTCCTGGAGAAGGACACACTTGGTGAGTGTGCTACAGTGAGGCTCTTGTTCAAAAGGGTTTTCCTGGGCCTTTGTCCTTCCCTTTGCCACATGTTTAGGCAGGAACATGCAAATAGCATGTGTTAGTCTAACCACAAGGTATTTGGCTAGTTTTGTCATTCCACCAGATTGAAACTGAGCAAGTTGAGCAGGAGAAATGTGGGGGTCTCACCACCAGCAAGGAAGAAGCAGCTCAGAATTCAGTCCAAGTCCTTCCACACCAGGGATTCCTGCCAGCCAGACCAACAGGAGACCTGACATAGAGCTGGCCTGGGACTGCTGTCCCATGGAGCTAGTCAGAGGCCTTCCCCTAAGCTTGCTGGAGTGCTCGGGGAGGAGGTGTTGCCTTAATTGGTAGGTCTAAAGGAATTTTATAACACTGGCCCAGAAGCTCTGGTGGCTTAGTGGTAAGAAATTGTGCTTCCATCACAAAGGTATGTGGTTTAAATCCACCAGCTGCTCTGTGGGGAAAAGATGGGCAGTATCTTCCCATGCAATTTATCACCTCGGCAAAACCACTGGAGGGTCAGCTATGGGTTGGTCCTGATTTGATGGCACACAACAAAGCTGCAAGGCTGAAAGGTGAAGGGCCTGCAAGTAGGAAGGTCTGGTGGCTTAGAGGCAAAGAACTGTGCTGCCAAGCCAAAGGTTCTTGGTTTGAATCCACCAGCTGAATCTTCAGAGGAGAAAGTAGGACAATCTCCCATGTGATTTACTGCCTCTGAAAACCTGTTCAAGGGGCAGCTATGAGTCAGTTCCAACTCAAAGGTACATAACCACAGGAGAGTTTTAGAACACTGGTCTGAACCTGGAAGGTGGAAGGGCCTGTAAACATGGATCAGAGAAAGCTGTCCTGACTACAAAATTGTTTCCTGCTAACTTCCCTAATAACTGAGCAATTGCATCCTGTAAACTTCACTAATAAACCCCATAATCATGAGCACGGTCCCGTGAGGTCTGTGTAACTATTGCAATGAATTTTGGATGCAGTAGAGCAGTAAGATTAGCGCTGAAATTAAAAGGAGGTGCAGGAGCATGGGGGGACATGTTTGACATCATGGGAACTGGTTTTGTGTTGTGGGTATTGATGATGGGAGTTGGTAGAGGTCAGACTCAGCTGTCTCCATGCTGCTCACATTTCTTTTACAGTAGGATATGGGGTCATTAATAGCAGTCAATAAATCAAAAGATGTGGCACACTGGGAAAATCTTCTGTCAAGGACCTTTCCAACGTGCTAAAGAGCTAGATGTCAGTTTAAAGACTAAGATGCAGCTGATCTTTCCAATTACTTCCTACACGTGTAAAAGTTGGATAGTGAATGAGGATCACAGAAGAATCAATGCCTTTGATTGCAATGTTGGAAAACAGAATATCCTGTGAGCAGCCAAAAGAGAAAACAAGTTTAGCCAGGGTGCTCCTTAGAGGCAAAGGAGAAGTATCATCACACGTACTTTGGGTTGCTTGGAGGGGCCAGTCCTTGGAAAAAGATTATCATGCTGGGAAAGGTAGAAGTGTCAGCGGAGGAGAGATGGGTTGACACGGTGACTTTTAACAATGGGCTTGGTTAATACCAGATATGATGAGAATGGCATAGGACAAGGTTGGGTTCAGACCTAAAAACAACATTGGGTCGTTGAAAGAGAGGAAGATTCTTGGCAAGACGAATTGACCCAATGGGCTCAAATAGACTAATGATTGTGGGGATGGTGCACGGCCGGCAGTGCTGCCTCCTCCTGTACACAGGATCGGTTAAGAATCTGAGGGGACTTGAGGAGTCTAACAACAAATCTGTAGTTCAGGCACCAAAAAATAATGGAAGGAAAAATGCAAGTCAGCATTTGGCTGGCAAATCGTGGACTGCATCTACACTTTAGCAGAATACTTAACGTGAAATCTAGGATGAGGTCCTCAGATTTTAGTTCCTTCCTCATTTTTTTCTGGGACTTCTAACCTCAGCTGCTTTATCTCCTAACGCTGAAGAGCTGCTCTTTCTAACTGATCTTTAAGGAGCGAACATGAAAGAAAGCGATGCAGAAGGCCGACTGCATTACCCACTGCAACTCAAAATGCGCAAATGGAAACTCCCTTTTGACGCATCCAAAAGTTGCACACACAATGAGGCGTGCGAGGAGCTCCCGACAAGGCTGCTGGTCTGTGTTTCCTGTGCAGCAGACACACTGACAAACCGCAGGTGGCTTCCGGGACAGGAAGCATGAGCAAGACCTTTCAGCTTCGCCAGCAGGTCATCTGTCAACCCTCGACCTCCCCTCCAGCTCAGGAAGCACAATCCAAAAGTTAAGGTGCGAGATAACGTTTGACAGAGAGTCAACGCCACAATTCGTCCTATAGACCCTGAAAAGGCGTGCGAAGAAGTCCTGACTGACCCAGATTCAGTTCCTGCTTTCCAGGGGCAAGCACAGGACAGTCAGAGACAGAAGGTCAACAGGAGCAATGCAGTCCCGGACCCGATTTGTTCAAGAAGAGTCACTTTGTTAAACCAAGTGCATAGGGTCGCTACGAATCGCAGGCGATTCGATGGCACCTAACAACAACAAGAAGGAGTATGCTTCGCCAATGCAAAATAAAGAGCACGAAAAAGGAGGAAAAAAAGCCCTTGGCGCCCCAACTCCGACCAGCAGCAGCGGGCTCACCACCTGGGCCACAGGGTGTCTTTGGGCTGCAAGGTGTCACCGCCCAACACGGCTGCATTGCCTCCCTGGAAAAGTAAACTCAGCCCACAGAATGCGAGCAAACTACTTTTCCCATCGAGCATCAGTCAAAAAAGCGCCTAAAGCATTTCCTCGAGCCCCGGTTTCTTGTAATTTCACGTCCACAACCCATTCACTAGGACTTCATATCCCAGCATGCCTCTGGGAAGGACAGTGTGCGCATGAGCAGGGAGGCGGGCTCGCGTCGAACTCACGGCCCCGCCCCCGGCCTACCGCCGCCATTTTGTCAGAGACTTTCATCCGGCAGCCGACGGGGCTTTTTTTTCTTAAAGGAGAAGCGACAGCTCAAACTATCCCCCCCGTCGCTCTGCAAGACCTGCCGACACTGGGGCCAAAAAAGCCAAAGAAAGGAAAGTGGGACTCAGGGTGGAGGCAGAAGAACGACCAGGCTGTTTTCGCGGACTGAAGAAGTCCAGAAAGAGTCCTTGTGGTATTAGCGGCTCCTTAGGGAGGCAGGTGCGCGCGCAGCCAGCCCAGGGCGCGCGCGAGGCGGGGAAAGAGGTGCGTTTTCTTCCTACCAAACTCCCTCGCGAGACCTACCCCTCCCACTGCCCCTGGCGCGCGTTGATCTCCAGAGCGGGGGGAGAAAGGTCACTTTCGGATTGTCGCGAGACGCAGCCGTTTAACGGTGAGAGCGGGTGCGCGGGGAAGGAAACCTCGCGCGCTCCCTCCGAGCCGCTGCCTGATTGGTCCCAGCAAGGGGTGGGGGAGGAAACCCGCTACGCCGCTGCGTGCGAGCCCGGGGGGCGGGGACAGGAGGCCGTTCCCCTCTCCTGATTGGCCCGTGGAGCGTCCGTGTCGGGCGCGCGCCCGGCGCCAGCGGCTGCGGGCCGTGAGTGGCAGGGGGCGGGGGAGCGCCCTCGGAGCTGGGAGGAGGGGAGGGGGGAAGAGGAGCGGAGGGTGAGAGAGTGAGCCGGACGCTCCGGGAGGCGAGGGGGGGCGGGGGAGCAGCGCCGCGGCCGCCGCCGCCTCCGCCTCCGCCGCCGCGGACGAGGGGGTGGGGACGGACGAGTCCCGATGCCGGGAGAGACGGAAGAGCCGAGACCCCCGGAGCAGCAGAATCAGGAAGGGGGAGAGGCGGCGGCGGCGGCTGAGACGCCTCCGGAGGAGCCCCAGCCGCGGCCCCCTGAGGCGGCGGCAGCAGCAGAGGCGGTAGCGGCAGCAGCAGCAGCAGCAGCAGCGGCGGCGCCTGCGGGGACCACTAGTAGCCGCGTGTTGAGGGGAGGCCGCGAGCGGGGCCGGGCCGCTGCGGCCGCTGCCGCCGCTGCTGCTGTGTCCCGCCGGAGGAAGGCCGAGTATCCGCGCCGGCGGAGGAGCAGCCCCAGCGCCAGGCCTCCCGATGCCCCAGGACAGCAGTCCCAGGCCGCGAAGCCCCCGTCTCCAGCTCAGGGCAAGAAGAGTCCGCGACTCGTGTGAGTAACGCAAGCCCCTGTTGGTGGCGGTGGGGAAAAGACCCCCCTGGGTCCGCGCGCAGCCCTCCCGGCTCCCGTAGAGCCCGCTCCACGTGACGTCCCGCCCGCTCTGCCCCCTGCCGGTGCGCTCGGCTGATGCCACCCGCGGCGCCCGGTTCCCCGCGGTCCCGGCCTCCCCGCGCTCCCCGCGCTGCCCCCCGCCGCACCGGCCACTTCCCGTCGCTCTTTGTGGGACCCACCCCTTCGCGCCCGCGGGGCGCCCTGCTCCGCACTCTGGCAGCTGCTCCCCCCCCTTTTTCTTCTTTTTTTTTTTTTTTTTGCGAGCCCAGCCCTGTCCCTCTCTCCCAGCCTCGCTCCCGAATTACATCACATCGGCGCCAGGGGAGCTCCAGAACCTCCGGGCCCCGCGCGTCCCCTTAAGTCACCCCGGGGCCAGCTTTGCTAATGTCCTCGTGGAACTTCCCCCCCCCCCACGCTTCTTAGAAATTAGTCCCTTACTGGAGGGTTCAGAGACGGGGCTTGGGCGCCGGTTTTAGGTGTGGAATCATTCCTGTAACAAATTAGATCAGAGTGCTTTAGTTCTCTTAACCCAGGTCGAGTGTGGCTCTGCGTGTTTGCGTGTAAAATGTCACTAGGGGACCAGGAGGGGAGAGAGCCCTGATCATAAAGGTCTGAAATGATTTGTAAAGACGCCCCAGACACACAACTTTGTCAAGTTTAGAAATGAAACACGTTAGCTTTTCATTCCCAAAAGCTTCGTTTGCGTTATTTGACTTACAGGTGGTGGCGGTGGGGGGTGGGGTGCAAATAAGCAGAGAAAAAAAAATGATCAGTTATATGTGCCCATATAGGGATAGTGCTAGGATCTGACCTGTTCCAAAAGGAAGCCGGATTTGGTATGCTTGCCTTACGTAGCTTCTCAGTGGCATAGGATTCAAGGATTTAGGGTGAAACCTTTCTCTTACATGTTTGAATGAAAATGAAGTTTACATACTTTAGAAAGTTGTGGGTGAACTGCACTTCCACGGGCAAGCTACAGCTGAACTTGTAAAGGCATTGTGCTGTAATTAAAAGCTTCATTCGGGCTTTTTAGCTTAGGTTTGTTTGGATTTAAGTCTGTGAACATGGTAAAGCATAGTGTCTAAAATATGCAAGTAAAAGTTACCATTTTGAGAAGTGACGTAGCCTGATGAGTAACAGTGCTTTTCATGGAAATTTTAGACGTGCAAGAAAAGCAGTTTTTTCATTTTTTGTGTTTCCATGTACTCTACCACAAAATTCCCATCCATTCACTGCTCACGGTAGGCCACCACATGCTGTCAGAGTGCAGCCGTTCTTGGGGTGGGGGTGGGGGGCCGGCAGTGACAGTTTTCAGAAATGGGTTGCCAGGCTGCCTTGAATACTTCTGACTAGACTCTTAACCACCAACCTTTTGGTTGGCAGCTGAAAAACTATTGCTACACATAGGTTAATATTGAAAATAATTTTTCCTGAGTCTTTAGACATCAAGGAATCCTGGTGATGCTGCAAATGAAGCATGTTTGCTAACCAAGTTCGAACCCACCAGTCACTCCTTGAGAGAAAGATTGCTTGCAGTCTGCCTCCCATGAGGATTAGTTGAGGTGACCGGGGTGGTGTATTTTCTGTTGGAACTGACACATAGATGACCTTCCAGCTGGTTTTTGGAGGCAGTAAATCAAATGGGAGATTGCCCAACCATCTCCTGTCCATAAAGATTTACAGCCTTGAAAACCCTTTGGGCAGTTCACTCAGTCTTACAAGGTCACTGAGTCAGAATGAACTCCCTGGCAGTGGCTTGATTGGATTGGTAGCAGTGATAGTAATCCCTCAGCCTCAGAACTGTGTCTTCATGCATAGCGGCTTTGCTTACAATAGCAAGGAGTCAGAAATAACCTAAGTGGAATACTGCGCTGCATTGAAAAACAAGGAACTCATGCAATATTATTCAAAATGGGTGACCCTGGAGGACATTATGCTTGGTGATATCTCAGTCACAAAAGGACAAATACTGCATGGTGCCACTGTTGTAAAACAGGACTGACCTCAGGGGGAGATGGCGGGGAGACTGAGAAAGATGCGTTCAATAATGTATACTTCATTGAAACAGATGAGGGAGAAAACTGTTTAAAAGGCATATGTGATTAGGTATTTTTGTCATGCCAGGAGTCCAGAAGGAAGGCTGCATAGTGGAGTGGACCTGGGAGGAGGGATTGTAAAACAATGAAAGAATTTTTCTTTCACTTTTCCAAGAGGGTTGTGTGCTTGGGGGAGGGAGGAAGGTTGGGAGGGGAGAGGAGTGCAACAATGAATGAATGGAAATCCAAAGTCTGTAAATTTTCATTGAAATTTTTAATAATAAATTAAAACAAAGAACTGTCTTCCTTATGCATTTAGAAATCATTTTCATCTCAATGTTAAAATACACTTTCCTCATGTTTTTGTTAGACATTTGCACTTCAGCCAAGATCCTCTTGTGTGAGAAGTAAGCTGACCTGGTATTATGCTGAGCCCAGGGTGTTATAATGATGTATACACATGGTGTTATACTCCTAAAACCTTGCGGTGTACATTGACTAGTGAATATTTGTCACACATGTACATGGTTTACAGATTTTCAAAAGGATGAGACATATTTTAATACTATTCTTTTCCTGCTTTTAAGCCTTTAAGACATTTCAAGAAGTGCTGAGTATCAGTTACTGCAATATAGTAAAAAGTCTTCTCTGCTTTCATTTAACTTTAGTCAAATCCCTTTTCGAAAGTCTGTCTTTGTAGTTATTGTGTGCTGTTTGCATTGACTACCACTCATGGTGATCTTATGCATAATGGCTGTGAACCCTGCCCTTATCTTGAGCCAGTCTGTCTCTGACACACCTCATTACCCCAGTTATTGTGTCAGTCATCTCATCTGGGGTCTTCCTCTCCTGGGTATCCCTCCAGTCTTCAAAGCGTGATAGACTTCTCCAAAGTTCGGCCCCTCCTAGCTTCATGCCCAAGGTATGTGAGACAGTCTCAAAATTCCTTGCCTCTAAGGAGCAGCTTGGTTTTACTCCATCCAGGACAGTCCTGTTAGTTCTCTTAGCAGTCCATGGTATGTTCACTACTCTTCTCTAGCACCATAACTAAAGGCATCAATTCTCCTTCTGTCATTCTTAATCATTGTCCAGCTCTCTGATGCATAGCAAGTGATAGCAAAAACCAAGGCCTGGATTAGACAAACCTTAGCTTCTAGACTGACATACATTCTCGCTCTTCAGCATGCTGGAGAGGTCCCTGACAGCAGATTTTCCCGATGCAATTAGTCTTTTGATTTCCAGATTGCTGGTGCCAAGAGTTTTGATTATGGAATTGAGCGAGCTCAAAGTGTTAACAATCTTAATCTCGTCTCCGTTTGTAAGGATGCTACCAATTGGCCCAGTGATGAGAATCTTTGTTTTCTTGATGTTGAGCTTCAGTCTATATTGAAGCAAACTATAGTCCTTGACCCTCTGCAGCAAATGCTTCAGGCCCTCCTTTTCAGCAAGTAAGGTTGTGTCATCTGCATAACACAGGTTGTGCACCCTGATGCCACATTCCTCCTCATAGATTCCAGCCTCTCGAATGATCTGATGTCACGTTCCACCTCATAGTTTCCAGCCTTTTCAATAATCTGACCTGTATACAGATTAAAAAAGTATGGAGACAGGACACATCCTTGATGCATTCCTTTTCTGATTTTGAATCATGCAGTGTTTCCTTGTTCTGTTCTGATGACTGAATCCTACTAGTTCAGCTATTACAGGTTTTGCGTGAGTACAATAAGGTGTTCTGGGATTCCCATTCTTCTCAGGATTAGCCACAGTTTGCTTTCATCCATTTAATCAGATGCCTTTGTATAGTGAATGAAACACAGGTAGACATTCCTCTGGTGCTCACTGCTTTCAGCCAAGGTCTATCTGACATTAGCAATGATGTCCCTATTGCTCGGCCTCTTCTAAACACAGCTTGTTTCTAGTAGTTCTCTGTAGATGTATTGTACCTCTTGCTATTGAATAATACTCTTCGGCAGGATTTTGCTTATGTGTGATATTAGTGATATTGTGTGATAATTTCCATACTCTGTTGGGTCATCTTTTTTTAGGATGGGAATAATTTTTTATCTCTTCCAGTCAGTTGACCAGGTACTTGTCCTCCAGATTTCTTGGCACAGCCTGGCGAGCATTTCCAGGACTGCCCTTAAAAAAAAACCCCAAAAACCCCACCAACAAAAAAGACAGTGAAGTATACATACAATAGCTTCTATCATTAAAGACAGCTGTTTGAGATTAAATAAGTTTTGTTCATATTAGAAAGCAGAGTATTACAGTAAAAACACCTGGGACATTAGCCAGTGACATTGCATTTTTAGGGTTTTTTTTTTTTTTCTTCCCCCTGTTTATTGAGGGACCTTTGGGCAAGTCACTTACCCTTTTTCAATGGAATCTTCATACCATATTTTATAAATTTGTACAGAAAACTTTGTTGTTAGGTGATAATTAGTTTGCAGTTCTTTTATAAAAGTTCTTAAGCTTGCAACACCTTTTTACATTTGTTTTAAAATGCTACTAAGTATACTTCAAAGGAATAGATGAATGAAGAGGAGTAAAAATTGTACAAAAGAAAGGCAAAATTAAATACTTAGAATCATATTTACAATTTAGCAGGTGAATTGTAAGTAAGAAAAAGAAACAAAATTTGAAGAGTAACTATGTACTCCAACTGTTTAAAAATTGAGCTTACTGTTTCTAAGCCAGTAAATTTCAAATTTAAGATTCTTGTATTTAAACTGTAGATAATATACTTTCATTTACATCTTAAATTATACTACATAAATTAGTGTAGTATCCAGATAGTGGTTTTTTTTTTTTTTAATTCATAGTTAAAATATCCATGCTTTCAATGGAAATTATCATCTCTAAGACTAGGCAAAAATTACAAAAGTAAAGCTTTTCATTTGATTGTAATAATCAGTCCTTCAGTTATCATGGGACTGTCATAGTTTAAAACTATAATAAATACTTTTCAACACTGCTCATTTTTAGCTGTTGAATACTCATTTTCGAAGCTTTTAGTTTTTAGAAGTTTGTGTTAGGCCCAGATTAATTACTTAAGACAGACACAGAATATTCTATTTTCTGGTGTCTGGAGTTCTGTTTTTGCTCAGTAAAAGTAGAATTATAATAACTCTGAATGACACTTTCTTACTACTTCCCTTTGTTTGCCTCTTTATTATTCTTATTATTAATTTTAGTGAAAATTTACAGAGACTTTGGATTTCCATTCATTCATTGTTGTACTTTTTTCCCTGCCTACCTCTCCATCCCAGTTTGCTCTTTTTGAAAACGAAAAGAAAAATTCTTTCATTGTTACACAATCCCTTCCCCCAAGGTCCACTCCATTATGCAGCCTTCCTTCTGGACACCTGTCATGACAATAATACCTAATTACGTGCTGGAGAAGAGTATTGAATATACCATGGACTGCCAAGAAAACAAACAGATTCATCCTAGAGAGGGTTAAACCAGGCTGCTCCTTGGAGGCAAGGATTCTGGGGCTTTGTCTGACATACTTTGGACATGTTGCAAGGAGAGACAGGTCTTTAGAGAGGGACATCATGCTTGGTGGGGGGGGCACAGCGCAGGAGGGGAAGACCCTCTATGAGGTGGATTGATTCAGTGACTAGGGTAATCGGGATGGGTGTGTCAGAGGCAATGAGATTGGCACAGGATAGAGCAGGGTTTAGGGCTCTTGTACATAGGGTCACTATGAGTCGCAAACGACTCGACGGCACATAACAACAACAACGACATTCCTTTTAAACAGTTCTCTCTCTCATCTGTTTCAATGCAGTACACATTATTTATCCCATCTTTCTCAGTCTCCCCCCAACTCCAATGTCAGTCCCGTTTTACAACAGTGGCACTATGCACTATTTGTCCTTTTGTGACAGATATTTCACTCAGCATAATGTCCTCCAGAGCCACCCATTTTGAATAATATTGTATGAGTTTCTTTTTTTCCAATGCAGCATAGTATTCCATTGTGTGAATATACCACAGCTTCTCTATCCATTCATTTGTTGATGGGCACTTACTTAGGTTGTTTCCAACTCTTTGCTATTGTGAAAAAAAGCTGCAATAAACATGGGTGTGCATATATCTGTTTGGGTGGCAGTTATGGTTTCTTTGGGGTATCAGTAGTGGAATTGCTGGGTCAAATGGTGTTTCTATTAGTAACATTTTGATCAAGTGTCATACTGCCTTTCACAGTGGTTGCACCAACCTCGCCAGCATTTGTTGACTACTTCCTTTTTTAAGGAAAACTTGAAGGTCATAATAGCAAGGATGAAGAGGCAGTAATAGAATGATTAGGAAAAATAGCTTTCCTTCTAGGTTAGTGATCAGTATACTACTAGAAACATTGAACCCCAAAGACTTTAGAAGGTTTATTATTTAATAATTCAAAATTTTAGCATTTATTTAAATTATTTTCATGTAGAGTTAGGATTAACAATTGTCTGGTTAGCTTTAATTGTTTAAAAGTTTAAACTTTTTACTGTTTAGAGGCAGTATCATCTTTATAATAAAAAATGCAAGACATGATTTTAAGTTAGATGTTGAGTATTGCAGAGTTTTAGTATATTATACTCAGTGTTGATATAGAAATGTTTTCTGTATTAAAAACATGAGAGTAATTATTTAGTCTGTAGGTGGTAACACTTTACTATTTCTAATTTGTAAAGGTCAAGTTAAATTTACTTCTGTGACCCATGTATTGCCCTCTTTTTAAGAAACAGATTTTGAAATTAGTTTAATAACTTTGTGGTTTTGGCTCCTTAATATTAAGAATATTAACAAAAAGCTGAGAAAACAATATAGTGAAATCTCTGAATCATCATCTAGATTTAGCAAGCAGTTAATGACGATTTTGCCATACTTGCTTCATCTATTCTTATTCCACCTCACCTTTTTAAATAGAAGGATTAATGGCATTTCACTCTTACTTAATACATTGGTGTAAATAGGGAGATAAAAATGTTTTCTAAGAAAATGCCCTATCTCCCCCAGCAACAATAGCAAAGTTCAGCAGGGCAGCAAACAACAAATGCTGGCAAGGGTGTAGAGAAATTGAAACTCTTATTCACTGTTGGTAGGAATGTAAAATAGCACAGCCAGTATGGAAGACAGTCTGGTGCTTCCTCAAAACGTTGGAAATAGAAATACCATTCGATACAGCAATTGCACTGTTGGAAAAATACACTAAAGAAGCCAGAGCCATGACTCAAACACATGTATGCACACCTATTTGTATTATTGCATTATTCACAATAGCAGAGATGGAAGTAACCCAAGTGCCCATCAACAAATGAATGGATAGATAAACTATGAAGGAGAATTGATGCTTTTGAGCTTTGGTGTTGGAGAAGAGTGCTGAAGGTGCCATGGACTGCTAAGAGAACAAACAGATTCATCCTGGAGAGGGTTAAACCAGGCTGCTTTTTGGAGGCAAGGATTCTGAGGCTTCATCTGACATACTTTGGTCATGTTGTAAGGAGAGACTGGTCCTTGGAGAGGGACATCATGCTTGGGAGGGAGGAGAGCAGGCGCAGGAGGGGAAGGCCCTCTGGGAGATGGATTGATTTGGTGACTGGGGCAATCGGGATGAGTGTGTCGGAGGCATTGAGATTGGCACAGGACAGAGCAGAGTTTAGAGCTTTTATACATAGGGTTGCTGTGAGTCGCAGGCGACTCGATGGCACATAACAACAACAACATATTATACAGCGGACTATTATGCAACATTGCAAACCAAGGGACTTGTAAAACATTATACATAACATGGGTGGGGGACATTATGCTGAGTGAAATATCTCAGTCACAAAAAGGACAAATACTGTATAACACTGCTGTTATAAAATAGGACAGATTGGGGCAGTTGGGGAGAGAATGAGAAAAGAGTGGATCGATAATGAGCATTGCATTTGATCAGACTAGGGGAAGAACTCTGAAAAAAGTATGTGATAAGGTATCATAAGTGTGACAACAACCTGGAACAAGGGGTGCATTGCAGGGAGGAGGTAAGGAGGGAAAGGAGGAAAAATGTGGAGCAATGACAAAAATCAAAACGTGTTTGATGTTAAATAAGTAAAATTCTAACTCTAAATTGACACCAACACTAAGAAAATACTGTTAGGGTTGTGTTTTGTTTTTGTTTTTGTTTTTTTCTTTTTTGCCATACTAGAGTTAAACAATTGTCTTAAATTCTGTTCTACCTGTGCCTTGTTACATGTGATAATGTAGCTGTTTAAACTTATGTTCATGAAAATCAAATTTAGCCCTTAAATTACGGCAGCTATTTCAGACGGTTAGTTGCCAAATGTGACTACCAAATTATTAAGCAGTGCAGATTCAGAATCTTTCACAAAGTTCTGTTGGACCCCTCTGTAGATTCAGCTGCTAACTGAAAGTAGTATATATATTTGCATGTTAAGAAAATTTTGCAAAATTCATTTAATATTTGGTTCTTCTTTCTTTCAGGTGTGTAGAAAAAGTAACAACGGATAAAGGTAAGGCCTGGTCACCTTCACCTTGCTTTTATATAGTCCACTGATTATAAAGTCAAGTCATTGTCAGCCTGGTAATTCATTGAAGATGCTATATAAATGTGACTTTTATTGGGTAAAGAATTACAGACCTAGAGCTATTGTAATGAATGGTAGATTTGGCATTACTTAAAAACTTAATGAGAGAAAATGAGATTTGCTGTTAACTGGAATTTTCAAACTTTTTATGAAGAAATTCAGGGAAGAATGATACACAGAGTACCAGTTTATGTGTTGACAAAATCTTAATGCTGATAGAGGTTCAAACTATAAATGCAGTTTGAAGAAGGTGTAAATAAAAATATTCTAAGATTTTAAAAAATGTTCTAAGAGTTCAACCTTTTGAATAATTAAATAAGGTACTTTATCTTAAGATTTTTAGCATGCCACATAGATATGTATTGACTATGGTCTTTCACTCATCTGGGTAATTGAGGGTAGCTGATGCCTACTTTTTTAAACATTTTTTTAGAAGAGTTCTTTTTGGTGGCGAGCTCTGGTAGCCTAGTGGCAAGAAGCTACACTGCAATCCCAGAGGTGTGCGGTTCAAATCCACCAGATGCTTTGCTGGAGAAGGAGGAACAATTTCCTCCTGTACCAGTCAAATCTGATTTGATGGTACACAAACACACACACACACACAATACAAATAAAATTTTAAGAGAAAAAAAAGAAGACTTCTTTTTAGACTATATTGACTTTGCCAGTTGATTATAAAGTTGCCCCATCGTATTGGGCCAGTTGTTCATTCATTATGTATATATGCTTCCGTAGTTTTTGGCTGTGTTCCTTGATGCTAAATTCATGGACAAGGATCCTTTTTTAAAAGTAGAGCAAGTACACTTTCAGGCAAGTGTTCTGTATTGTGTGTGATCTTAACCTGATCCTAACAGGCCAGTTTTCAACTCTGTCACAATAACTGAGAGTTGACCACTTGGATTCTTTTGGATCTTAGCTGAAAGCAGGGAATACCAGAGGAATGTATATTTGTGTTTCATTGATTATGCAAAGGTGTTTGACTGTGTGGATCATAACTGTGGCTGACTCTGAGAAGAATGGGTGATCGTGCTAATGCAAAACCTATACTTGGACCAGGAGACAGTCGTCAGACCAGAGCAAGGAAACAATGCATAGTTCAAAATTGGGAAGGGCATATGCCATAGATGTGTCCTTTCTCCATAGCTTTTCAACCTGTATGCAGAACAGATTTTCCGGGAGGCTGGGCTTTGTGAGGAGAAATGTGGCGTCAGGATTGGTGAAAGATTTATCAACAATCTGCGTTATGCAGATGACACAACCTGCGTGCTGAAACTGAGGAAGACCTCATGCACTTGTTGCAGAGGGTCAAGGACTGCAGCCTTCAATATGGATTGAGTCTCAATGTCAAGAAGACAAAAGATTCTTACCACTGGCCCAATTGGCAGCATCAGGATGGATGGTGAAGAGATTGAGATTGTTCACAGCTTCAGTTTGCTCGGCTCCACAGTCAGCACTCTTGGCACCAGCAGCCAGGGAATTAAAAGAGGTATTGCAATGGAAAAGTCTGCTGTTAGGAACCTCTCCAAGGTACTGAAGCGCAATGGTGTCTCTGGAGACTAAGGTGCATCTAATACAGGCACTTGTTATGCATCAGAGAGTTGGACAGTGACTAGGGAGGATAGAAAGAGAATTGATGCCTTTGAGCTGTGGTGCTGGAGAAGAGTATTGAATGTACTATGGACTGCTAAGGAAACAAACAGATTCATACTGGGGAGGGTTAAACCAGGCTGCTCCTTGGAGACAAGGATTCTGAAACTTCGTCTAACATACTTTGGACATATTGTAAGGAGGGACCAGTCCTTGGAGAGAGACATCATGCTTGAGAGGATAGAGGGACAGTGCAAGAGGGGAAGACCCTCTATGAGATGGATTGATTTCAGTGACTGGGGTAATCGGGATGGGTGTATCCGAGACTGCACAGGACAGAGCAGAGTTTAGGGCTGTTGTATATAGGGTCACTGTGAGTCGCAAGTGACTCGACAGCACACAAGAGTTTTGTAGATTCAGTTCACTCTATAGCTTGCTACTATTTCTTTAAAAACAACAAACAAAAAAAGTGTGAATATGTATTCTTAATGAAGATTTTTTTTTTCTTCATTAAAAAGACTTTGGAAGTACAAAAAAAATAAGCTTTAAAACTTTTGATTTGATGCCATATTGGAGGACAGTGAAATTATTGTTGGGTGCTGTCAGGTTGACTACTGAAAATGACCTTATGAACCACAGACGATACCTTACGCTATCCGGTGCCATTCTCACTGCCACACGTAAGCCCATTCTTGTAGTCATTGTGTCAGCCCCATCTCCTCAGGGGCCTTTCTCTCTTCACTGGCCCTTTACTTTTTCCAGCGTGATGTCTTCTTTCCAAGGACTAGTAGTCCTGACAGCATGCTCAGAGTATATGTTAGATAAAGTTTTATCCTTCTTGCTTCTAAAGACCATCCTGGTTGCACTTCCTCCAAGTTCCCCCAAGACACATCAGTTTGTTCTTTTGGCAGTACTTGGTATATTCAGCATCCTCTGCCAACACCACAATTCAAAGGTATCAATTCTTTAGTTTTCCTTACCCATTTTCCAAACTTTGTTGTGCATGTGAAGCAATTAAAAATACCCTGGCTTGGATCAGGCACACCTTACTCTTTAAACTGATGTACTTTATCTTTTTAAAGAGATCCTGTAAAAAGAGTGGAGCTTGGCTGAGTCTGGCACCCCTTCATTTTTATACTGACATCTTTCCTCTTTAGTAATGTGAAAAGGTCCAGTAAAAAGAATGGAGGTGTCATGGGATGAGGGAACATGGCTTAAGTTGACCTCTCTTATATTCACAAAGGGGAACCGTCCCCATGAGTAATATCGTTAATGTTGCATTACATAACCAATTCCATAAGGCTAGACAGGTCTGCACGCTCCTGCCCTTAGATCTGCTAAAGCCAGCACCAGTTGTAAAGGTTAGAAGTACATCAAAATGACTACACAGACTTCACAGAACCATACTCATGGTTATGAGCTTTATTAGGCATGTTAACAGGTTATAGTTTAGGTTGGTGACAGGGTACAATTCTGTCAAAATAGCTTCCAAAGCATATTCATAGACTCTTCAGGCTTTAGTCCATGTCACAGAACTCTTAGTACCTTTTCTGCCTCCAGGAATCTTGGGCGAAGGCCCCTGGTTTGGACTCTTTGGGGCAGCTCTGTCTCATGCCACTCTGAGTCTTCACCGAGGTGAGTGATGCTCTTGTGTAGGTTTTGATCCAACTGGTGTAGGAATCTCGCCCCAGAGGACACTGTTTTGTGCTTCATCGTTGCTTGTAGTAGATTCTACCTTTGTTGCTAAACCTGCTTAGCTTAAACTTAGTGGTATAGGAAAACCGACGATCCATAATCTGCGCCCTGTTTGAGGTTCCCACCCAGCCGTGTGGTAAAACCCAGTGACTGGAAAAGTCTTTTCTAAGATAAACCCATGTACCACTATCCTATGTTACTAGGCATTCAAAGGTCTCAAAAGAACACTAAGAGTAGAGTCTAGTAACATAAAAGGAGTATACAATGTATTCAAATGAGTTTTAATCCAGTAAATTTTGATTGCTTTGTTGTTAGATGTCATTGAGTCGACTTTTGACTCACTGTGACCCTAGGAACAGCAGTGGGACCTTTTTACCATCCTTACACACTCCGCTGGAATCTCTGTCACTTTATCTCCTTGAAAGTCTTCCCCTCTTGTGCTGACATTTACTTTTCCAAACATGATTCTTTTTCCAAGTGCTCCTGCCTCCTGACAACGGGCCTGAAGTGTGTGAGTTGAAATTATACCATCTAGGCCTCCAGGTAGCACCCTTTTTTGCACTTTCAAGGCAGATTTGTTTGTTCTTTAGTTCATTGTATACAGCAGTGAGGAAATCCAAAGAGACATTTCATTGGATAAATAACCTCTTTTAAAGTCCTAAAGGGCAAGGAGATAGCAGTTCAGAATTAAGATACTTCTGAACAGTCCATGATATTTTCAGTTTCTATGTATTTGTGTTTAAGTTGCACAGTAAATAAGAAAGACCTAAAAATAGTTGTAGCTAATACTTTTGAGTTCTAGTGTTGATTGCTTTATCATCTTAAAAGTAAATTCACATAATACTCTACATTAATGGTATGAAGTCCAGAAGCCATGTGATTATCTTAAAATCAGAATACATTGAATAAAAAATCCAATATCTGTTTATGATTAAAAACATCTGGGAAACCAGGAATGAAACTGGACTTCCTCAGAATTATAAAGGGTGCCTATAAAAAACTCAGGGAATTCTAGTGGCCTAGAAGGTGAGGAGTTGGGCTGCCAACCCAAAGGCACATGGTTCAAATCTACCAGTTGGAAATAAGTATGACAAGAGTCCAGAATAAGAGCTGCATAGTAAAATTGGGGGTGGGGGTGGGGGGAGCCGGCAATGAGGGGGACTGTATAACAATGAAAGAACTTTTCCCCCCCCAAAGAAAAAAGCTAATTGGGGGGGGGCAGGGAGAAAAATATGCAACAATGAATGAATGAATGGAAATCCAAGTTCTTTATAAACTTACAGTAAAATCTAAGAAAAAGAAAAAAAAATAATAAAGAAAATAAGAATCTTTAACATGATTAAACAGATAGGCAATATTAAACACACAAATTAGCTTTCCATTACTTTTATCAAATTACAAAGTGCCATGGTCATTTTTAGAAGTGAATTAATAATAAACAATGTTCTTTTCCTGCTGCATTTATTTGATTCTAGTTTTTTAAAAACCAAAAAAACTCATTTCTGTGGAGTCAGAACTGACTCTTCATTCGATTTTCAAAGAGGTAGATCGCACGGAGAAGATTGCCTCTTTCTCCTGAGGAGCCTGTGGTGAACTTGAACCACCAGGAGCACAGCGTTTGGGTTCCCAGAGCAGCAAGGTCC